TATAGTCAGTTTCCAGCAAAGAACAAATGTTGGAGAAAATCTCTTCAGTAAGTAGTCCTAGAAAAATTGGGTATCCATATGCAGAAGAAACAAAGGAGACCCCTATCTCTAACCATAGACAAAATTTAACTCAAAAGTGAATTAAACAGTTAAAAGTAAAACCTAAGAGTATGAAACTACTGGAAGAAATCATAGGGCAAATATTTTTGAACACTGGTCTGGACAATTTTTTTATACCACCCCCAAAACACAAGAAACAAAATTAAAATTGGCAAATTTGATAAGGTTACATTAAACTGTTTCCTACAGCAAAGGAAACAATTAACAAAGCAAAGAGACAATGTACAGAATGCAAGAAAATATTTGCAAACTATTCATCCAACAAGGGATTAATTTGCAGAATACATAGGGAACTCAAACAACTCAACAGCAAAAACCCCAAATAATCTCATTTAAAAATGGGTAAAAGACCTGGATAGACATTTCTCAAAAGAAAATATACAAAAAAAAAAAAAAAAAAAAAAAAAAAACCAACAAATATATAAAAACATGCTTAACATCAATAATCAGCAGGGAAATGCAAATCATAATCACAGTGAGTTCAGTTAGAATCAACTCCTGTTAGAATGGTTACTATTAAAATATAATACATAACATGCTGGTGAGGATGTGGAATAAAAGAGGCAATCATCATAGTAGGCAGAAATGTAAAGTAGCACAGCCATTATGGAAAAAATATGGAGGTTTCTGGGGAAAAACAAAACAAAACAAAAACTAAAAGCAGCATTACCATATAATGCAGATATGCCAATAATAACTGTATGTCCAAAAGAATTGAAATCAGTACGTCCAAGAGAAATTTTTACTCATACATTATCACAGCACTATTCCCAGTAGCCCAAATGTGAAGCCAACTGAGGAATTCATCAACAAATTAAAGGATAAAGAAAATGGAATATGATTCATCATAAAGAAATACAGTTCTGACATCTGCAGCTACATGGGTGTAAACATAGCATATTATGTTGAGTGAAATAAGCCAAGCACAGAAAGATAAATACTTCATGTTCTCACTTGTATGTAGAAGCAAAAGCATGGACATCAAAGTAGAAAGTACTTTAGTGATTACTGCATTCTGGGAACCTTGTGAGGTTGGGTGGGAAGAGAGAGGAAGGATAACTTGATGGGAATGCAGTTGGATAGGAAGACTAATATTTGTTGTCCTAAAGCACAATAGGATAACTATAGTTGACAATAAGTAAGTGACTATTTCAAAAGAGCTACAGAGAGGATTTTGAGAAATGATGAATGTATTATAGGATATGTATGCCATTACCCTTACCTGATAATTAAATGTTGTGTGTATGTATTAAAATGTCATACTATGCCCTATAAATAGCCTATAAATGCATGCAATTACTATGTGTCAATAAAAATAAAATGTATTAAAAGAGAAAAGGATGCAATTATTTTTGTTCCTGTGTTCTTACATATCAGCCACTTATTGGCTATATATGGTACTCAATTTCTTAAAACATTTTGGGCATTAGTCTCCTCATATGCAAAAATAATACAATGGGATCTATATATTCTCAGTGATTCCCTCCAACCTCACAAGTTTATAACAATATTTATTTTCTCTAAGACCTTGAAAGTGATCTAAAGTGCAGAAAATTATTAAAATATTTTTATTCCCCAAAGATCCATCATTATTACCTAATATTTTAATGGTAATATGCCTGTTAATTATTTAAAATATTGAGTTTGCATATTATTTTATAATTATAGATAAATATTATGATCATAAGGAATATTTGAACATAATTATTATGTATAGTTCTGTATACATACATTATATAAGGTAAAAGATTATAAAATGAGTAAAAACCTTTTCATAGTTTTAGTCATTTCTACTAATTAATATACTTATTAAAATTACCAATCATGAAATGAGAAATAGTACAGTTTCTAGTATACAAATCAACAAAGACCCCCCTCAAGCAATCAAAAGTAAATAAACTTTCCATGAAAAATGAAGTTTATTTTATTCTTACTTTGCCCATTAGCCATAAAATTGACTTTGTTTTCTTTCGGGGTTGACTAACTCCAACCTTTGCCATTTTCATAGTCATGAGATTTTACTATGAATGGTTAGCAGCAGTCTTCATTTGATCCATTTATATTCTCATTCACAGAGAGCTTGTAGACTTAAATCCCAGGGAGTTGAAATGGGAAGCGATATTTCATATATATCATTTGTGAATTCTACTATTTTCATTACTGACACATATTAGGAATAATTCTTACAACAGTTTATGAGATCTGCATTTATATTTTTTCTTTATAGCTTTGTAAAAGGAAGAAATTGACTCAGAGAAAAAATAATAATTTTACTTTTTAGTTCTATTTTGAATCTGTGGACCACACTTTACACTCTAAATAAATGCAGGGGAATTTTATTTAAGAACCCTATGAACAATTCTGTATGTAAATTTAATATCACAAAGGTACATAATATTGAACTATTTCAAAGGCTTCTTCTGCCTCTCCTCAAATGTCAGAAAAATTGACTGAAATTTCCTTTACAGGTGTTTTCCCCGAGCCTTACAATGATCTATATTTAGGGAAGAAATCAGAAGAATAAAATTCAGTGGGCCTGAAGTAAGAGGATTTATAGAATAAATGGCACATGCATCCCTCTTAGTAAAGATTCATCAAATAGAATTAAATCACATGTACATACAAAAGTATAATCATATAGATGTCAGGTAGGTAAGAGAGCGCTAGATCAACTGTGTCCTCAGAAACTTGAACCCTTTCTCCGAATTTCCCTCCTAGTTTAATGAGAATCTACTCATTTGGATTGATGATAACTTTGTGCTGCTGCAAAAGCAAAGAGGCAGGTGCAAGTTATGAAAGGATCTGGTCTTTGAAATCACTATGCCTTAGAAACTAGGAAGCCCAGTGATTGTGCAGTGGATTGGATTGTTTCTCTTTAGGCTACCAAATAGCCAGCCAGCTGCATTTTGTACAGAGAAGTGATTACTGAAAGCCTTGGCAACTGGGAAAAAGCCAACCTGCAGTGATTTGGGGGTGTTGCCATGAGCACAGGAGCTGCTGCAGAATCCTGATACAGATGATTACATATTTTTTGCAATATTATGTTGATGAGATAGATTCTAAGAGCATTTGAGAATATCTGCTTTAACTGCATAAACCATTCTGAAGCCTCCCAAATGAACTGAATTATGACTGGTTGAGAAAGTTATGACTTTTCCAATTCAGTTCTCTTTATATTTGATTTGTAAAATGAAGCCAAATGATATATTGTTCACATTACTATGAATTACATAGACCCACAAGAATATTCACATCACTTTCCGAATGCTTTATCATTCTTGATATTTTGGGTGTTATATGTTATTTTATTATTCCACTTTGCCTGCCTAGCAGTTGCATTTCATTTTATTGAAGTTCATTAGTCTAATGCTTTTCTTTATTTTTCTTTTTTTTTTTTTACCAGCCATCTCAGAGTCAAATTTTGTGCCTAATTGTATTAATTAACATAGGCTGATTTCCTACATTATAAATTATGTTATCTTTCTTTCTAATTACCTGCATTATTTTATAATTAATCTAAGTTGCCTCTATTTTTTTCATAAAAAAGCAATTTTACAAATTATTTCTTCTTCTAATAAAGTTATTGAATGAAATTCTCAGAACTGTAAGCTATTCTCTATCATATATATTTTTAAATAGTCTCTTGTCTGTGAATGAAGAGAGATATGAATTGTCAGTATCATTAACATTGAATTGAAACAAAAACATAACAGACCAAATAAACTTAAAATTTAATGTTGTTTAGTGAGAACTAGCTTGATATATTTTTGATATATTAAGAAGGCTAGTGTTAGTGTTTTCAGACTTTTTGAACAGGTAGAGAAAGGATATATAAGAAGTTTTGAAAGTCAACTTTGGGTAAAAACATGTACACATATGACAAGACACGGTGACTTGAATTTTGTTTTTAGTTAGTGATTGCTAACTGGTTATGCCCTTGAAGACTTTAGAATGTTCCTCTTTTACTATAAAAAGACATTTAAAACACTTGGATTTTTGTTATTGATGTTATTGTTTGAAGAAAAGCCATAACTTTTTAAAAAATGCATATATCATTCAATTGTCAATCTCTTACTAGAATTTGGCAAATACTTAAGTGTTTACACATTTCTAAAATTTCAAACAAGCTGTTGAATAACCCACAGCTTGCTGCAATTAGGTTAGAGACAGAATGATGTCTCACAGGTAGGGGAGCAAAATAGCTGGTGTGTCATCTTCGCAGACCTTCAGGTGAGCTACAATGAAGGTAATCACAATTCCAGAATTATATTATCTTTTGTGGAATATCATTGTTCAGACTTGAAATTGTCAAGAGTGCATGCTAAGAGTTGGGCAGTCTGTAGTGTGGCTTTCTTCTCATGCGCTGAAAAAGAGCATGTCATCCCTTCCAGTCAAATTTGAAAATTTCATAAAGTATATTCCTTTATAGGATCAGATTCTGTTATTTTAGAATTAGATTGTGTTCATCTCATAGGAAGCAACTACTCTATTTTCACGATAAATATATTGAGACCTTTTTTTTCGACAGCTATTTCTGAGACTCAATTTTTAAAACAATTTGTCATTTTGTTTACTTAGACAAGTTACATTTCTTTACTATGATGGCACTGTCTTAAATTACCTTTTTTTCTTACTTTTTTGGTACAGGTTGAATCCAGGGGCAATTTACCACTGAACTACATCCCCGAATCTTTTTAATGTTTTTAAAATTTTGAGACAGGGTCCTGTTTAAGTTATTTAGGGTCTTGCAAAGTATTTGAGGCTGGACTTGAACTTGTGATTCTTCTGCCTCCATCTCCCAAACATTGTCCTTTTCTAGTGAGCTTCCTTAAAATTTTCATATTGTACTATATAAATATATGTATATATATACATATGCATTTTTAATAAGCACATTTTATTTAAATAAATCATCCAGTAAAGTAGAATTTACTGCCTTTACTATGTAAATAGTTATGTCAAATTTATATGTGCAGCTCTCCAACATTCCCTTATTGGAAACATCCATATTTCCACATCACAGTTACCAAAAAGACTTAAATATCTCAAAATTCTGTATCTCCTTTCGCTTGCTTCTCTCTTGATTCCACCCAGGCTTTATTAATAGTTCGCTTCATATCATCATCTCCATCTTCACAAATTTTCCTTAGAACATTCATTAATCCCTCACTAGGATCCGTTTCGGTGTCATGTGAAGGCTTTTCTTTCTCTTTGCATTCTTTTTCAACCTGAGTCAAGTACTCCCACAGTGTGTTTTCTGCTTTCTTTCTACATAAGATGAGAACTGTAACGGTCTTAACTTTTTTTGAAGTGCCTTCTACAGAGATGGGTTTCAAGAGATTCTTCACAATTGTGGAGTAACTCTTCCCATTTAGATTCTTTACCAAAAGATCAAATGACCTCTCTGTGAAATGAACCTGCACATTCTCGGCAGCAACTTGATGAACTCCCCATAAAGTGATATAGATATTCACAAACTTATCTGATTGATCCCATCCATAATTACTGATTTTCAAGGTAGATCCTGTTGTAATGGGAGCAACCACAGCAGCTGGCTTTTCATTGTCAAGAAGTTCTGGTTTCTTCTGTGATTTCTGTTGCATCTTGTTCTTTATTTCTGTTTCAATCTTGTTTTTTTTCTGCTGTAAGGGCATCACATACTCTTTTCCTAGTGGTCTTTTCCAGAAACACCTTTACCTCTTCTAGATCATTCTGTAGTTCCAAGTTTACAGTGTGCTTTCTCTGCCTGGAATGCTCTTCCTCCAATTCTTCACTCTGTTGAGTTCTTTTGAAAGTGACAATTGAGGGGCTTTTCACATATCTTTGGTGTTCACTTATTAACATTATTTAAGAATTCTTTTTTTTTAATTGTACTTTCTACCTAAATTATAAACTCTGGTAATGCAGTGTTAATTGTAGTGTATGTACTCTGAAGATACTTAGTACGAATTTCTGCACTCACAATTTCAAAAGGCTTTATATTAATTTGTTAAGTCACAATAAGAGTAATCTCAGAAAATGATTTTATTTCTTTACCCTTGATTGTTCCCATATCTAAAATTACCTAGCTTTTCAACAGCTACATGTCACAGGAAAATAAGTCATCAGAAAGGTCACATTTTATCTTTAGGCTCCATTTTGCAAAAATGAGTTTGAAAAATACAGTACACTGGGGAACAGATATAGGTATTTTGTTAAATTACACAGATATTTACTACACAATTAAATCAGTCTCACAGATAATACCAGGAACTCTGCAAAGTCTTGTTTATTTTATTTAATGAACATTTATGCAGATATATCTCAAAGATAATGCAGGCTCAGTACTAGATCAATGCAATAAAGATGGTATCACAATAGTGAGTCATATGGAGTATATTGGTTTTCCAGTGCATATAAATTTATCTTTAGCTATATTAAGTCTAAGTTTTCATTATATTTATGTGTACAAAAGTTCATAAAACAAGAACATAGTAATTAAAAATACTTTGTTGACAGAAAAATGCAATCATGTGAACAATTGGAAATGGCACCAATAGATTTGATCAAAGCAGAGTGACCACAAACCTTCAATTTAGGTAAAACAGAATCAATATCTACAAAGTAAAATCAATCAACACCTAATAAAACAAGATATGCTGCTTTAACAGTTACTTTGTAACATTTGTTCTGATGACTTTATAAATATCAACTCATTTAAACTATTAGAACCCTTGGACAAATTATCATTATTTTCTCCACCTTTCAGGTAAGAATACTGAATCCAAGAGAGGTTAAAAAAAATTCTCAAGACCACACAATTAATAAGTAGCAGGTACAGGATTCAAGTTGAGAAAATCTGCCTACAGAATTTAGGCTCTCAATTGCTGTACTCAGTCTAACTCTTTAATCCTCTGTCAAAAGCCTGCGTTCACATTTTATATTTATTCATTAGCTTGAATATTTAATGAGTAAGAGCAAGAAATTGAATCAAGAGCTAAGAACTTAAAATATTAAAGTATGAACTGATTTTAATTGACCTGGCAGAGATTTGATGGGTTTGTTTCCTATCAAATATCAACAACACCCCATATTTAAAAAAGAGTAAAAGGGACTAACAATAAAAAGTAACATAAACACGCCTTCTCAAAAATATAAAAGAAAACTGGTCACCTTTTATTAAATTTCTGAAATGATAAACGTGCAGCAATTGCTCTGGATTTTCTATCAATTAGGTACCATTTATTACAAACCTATTCATAACATTAATTTGATTAATCTTTGCCCCTTATGTAAATTAAATTAGCTTTAGGGAACCAAAGAAAAATGATCTAGAGAGTGTGACTTTGAAACCTTACAGCTGAGACCAGGTCTGGGTGAAACACCAGAGAGAGCAGAGAAGCATTTGCCATGTATCTGGGTTGGAAAGTGCTAAAGTGTCAGCGAAAACACATCCTCCTCCTCAGATTTTTCCATCAATTTGAAGCCTGCGCTCTATTAGCTGCTGGGAAACAGAGATAAATTATACAGAACGTGTTTCTTTCAAGAATCTCTCAATCTGTTGAGGAAGGCAGGCAAAATATAAAAATAACATTTACAGTACAATGTGATGTACGTTCTGAGTGCCCAATCCCTCACTTGTCAGATGGCATACTTACAAATGCAGAGAAAAGAGTTGCTGGATCCATATTTTATTTTAAGGAAGTTGATTACTTTAGGGATCTAATGTGTAATTGGTTTGAACCCAATAGATGTAAGTAAGAGCATAAGCAAGGATAATCTTAAATTTAAAATTTTAGACTCATTGTCAACTTAAAATGTCATTTGTCTAAACAATGACAAAAAGCCTGCCAGTATGTTTTTCAACAAAAGAAGATGGTAGAATTGAAACCCTAAAGCTAATCAGATGTCAGTTAACATCGAAGAAAAAGTAAATAAAAATGAAAAAGATGACAAAATGAAGCTGGGTGAAGCTAAGATGTTTGAACAAAAGCTGAGGGACATGAAGATCATAGCAAGGAAGTATGACTTCCTCTTTGACATTTGTATCTGATAGCTAAGGACAAACTATGACTGAGAGAACTAATGATATGAACACACACACACACACACACACAAAAAAAAAAAAAAAAAACACCCTCGAAATCAGCACAGGTAAACAAAGCAAAGCTGTGTGAAATACAATATTAATTTGCTGACAGGATTAGCATAAATGGGAAAATTTTATTTTATGATTTCTAGTGACACACTTTCTAGATGTATTCCTCAGAAAAATTAGAAAGAGGTAGATTTTTCTACAATGCCTGGTAAACCATTATATTTTCTGTTCAAATGTTAAGTTATAAAACGAATATTGTAATAATAAATGATTCCCTCATGCCTTGTAACAGAGCATGATTATTTTAATGAAACATTGATATTAATAGAAAGTTTTCTATATGACTTAGGAAAAAATTAAGCATGTAACATCACTGAGTAAACTTTATGTTGTTAGAATTTTAAGTTCTATGTAATCCTTAAATATTGAGATTTTCTCATCTTGCAAAGGTCTACATGTATGTCATAGTATATGAAAAAGGATTTAATAAACATAAAATTCACTGCATCCTCTGCCATATTGCTCCTGATTGCAATCAGCATGTTACAACCACAGTGTAATTATAAAACCTCAAATATTTCATCAGCTTTTCCAGCTAGCTCAGTGCTGCATCTGTGGTCACTGGCCCATTGAACATAAATTTTAACTCCTTTTATGTTCAATTGGAATCTGAATTACACGGTTGCTGGTAAACTATACCAGAATTAAAATTCCTTTGAAGATAACTTGTCTGGTAAACTATTTTCAGAGACATGATTTCCCATACATCTCTTGCAACACTCTTACAAATTAGTGAGATGTTTGAAAAACTCATTTTGCCTGCATTTCCTGAATTCTAAGGTATTAGAGAGCATAATAATGTTTGTGACGTTACATTGAATTCATCTTCTTTACTACTCTTGATAATACTTATTCTAATGATAAGAAATAATTTACCAAGGGTAGTGGATTTTGATATATATTAGTTTTCTTTTTCCTCTTGTTGTCATGTTTTCATAACTTTTCAGAGACAACTGCTTTCATGAATTTATGATATTTCATGATATTTATATTTTTAACATATAAAATGTATCTGTTGATTCATTTCACAAATATTTGCTGCCTGTCTTCCGCTTGTTGGGCATTGAAGAATCAATAAGAGAATAAGATCAAGCAGGGTCCTTTCTGAAGTCACACTCATCAACTTAGATGGTTGATTTGTGAGTGTCATTAATTCTTGCCCAGCATATTTAATTTCCTTCCTTTTGTTTTTACTTTTTCTGAACAATTTTAAATTAAGTATATATCTTATATCTGCATATGGGTTTATATTTATATGATAAACCTATTTTTTTACATTTTTATTGTTGCATAATAATCATGCATAATGATGGGATTCGTTGTCACATATTTGCACATGAACATATCATCAGTCATCATCGGTGGGTCAGTTTAATTTTCCTCTCCCTCTCCTCCTTCATTCCTTGATCTCCTTGCTCTGTTCTACTGGTCTTCCTTCTGTTTCTGTAATATCCCTTTTTACTCTTTAGTTTTCACATGAGAGAGAAAACATAAGACCCCTGACATTCTGTGTCTGGCTTATTTCATTCGACATCTTTTAATTAGTGTATTTGAAATGGAATTCTATTTTAATTTTTGATACTTGAATGTTTTGCTTTGAAAATTACATTTTAAGCTTTCCATTTGCTTGCTTTATCTTTTGACTTCATCCACTTCCCTGGTACACCTGCTCTCATTGTTTCTTTGTTCTTCCTCTGAACCTTTTGTAAGTTTGGATTTTCTTTTCACCCTTTTTGTACTATGCTAACAGAAGTTGAATTTCTTTTTCTATTTTTGTAATGAGTGCTACTGTACTTACACAATATGTGTCTAGAAACTGTAACATAATTGATATTTTTGAACTGTCCCCCAAAACTCAAGATCTTAAGTGCACTGACTATTGTTATTGGATTCCCTCACCAATATTTATACTTCTGTTATTTCTGATCACCATGAATAACCTTATTTTTTCCATCAATTCTTACGTAGACTTAATGCATTTTTCTCAGAGTGGTTCATATCGCCAAGCAGAGTGTAATTTTTATTATTCTGTCTTCATTGTAGGTTGATGTTCTTGAGTCTCCCATATGCCCCAAAGTGGAGATTTATCTCTAAGTAGAATAAATTTACAATTTGCTCTGAGATTTTTTTCTTTTGTCGTTATTTGTTTGCTACTTAATTTTCTTATGTTCCATATGCTATGGCAGGAACCACAGCAACTCTGACTGACCTTAAACTTTGCACCATTATTTTAATTCTCTCAACTGTAGGGAAGTACACCAGTAAATAAAGGGCTTCTTTTCTAATTATTAGGAGCTTCATTTCTCCCACAGTCAGTAATAAAAAATGTGTTGATTTTGGATACGATTTTCATCCTAAGGTTTCTGAAGTGATTGCTGAAAGTATTTTCTAAAGGCAACATTTAATTATTTAGAAAAAATAAAGAAATTAAATAATGCATCTGATTTTAGTTGTTTCTATGTTGGAATTCTTTCAAATTTAAAACCTAGGTTTGAGTTTAGTCTCTACCAATGCCTAACTCTGAAAACTTAGTTGAATTCCTCAATAATTGTGAGCACCAGAATTCGTGTCCATAAAC